GATGCAGAAAAACGAAAAAACAAAAATTTAAAATTGCAATAAAAAATAAGGCAAAAAATAATATTTTTTTGCGGGAGGGGGTGGGGCAGAGGGGTAGTAAGGTGGGTGGTAACGGAAAAACTTAAATTTGAAAAAAAAAAATTTTTTTGGAGAGAGGGGGTGGGGTGGATTGGTGAGTGTAGGGAAGGTTGAGAAGAAGTTTTGAAAAATGTTTTCCCTTCTCTTGATAAGGAAAATATTTTCCTCCAATTGGAAGAAAATGAGTTCATAAGGAAAATGTTTTTCAAGACATCTAAGCCGACCAAACATGGGAAAATTGGAAAATATTTTTCAAAAAATATTTTCCTTCATACCAAACACACCCTAAATCTCTCATTAAGTAGGCGATAAAGTAGCTGGAAGACACGGAAATAAAGGTATCATTTCCAAAATTTTGCCTAGACAAGATATGCTTTATTTACAAGATGGAAGATCCGTTGATATGGTCTTTAACCCATTAGGAGTACCTTCACGAACTTTTTACTCAGTGAATGTTGCCGAATCTCATTTCGGCTTTTCGGGGTATTTAACATAACTAATAATTCTATATTGGAAAAGTTTAAAAATTTCAAACAATTTTGATCGGTATTCAACTAAGGGCCCGCCCGCTGCTTCGTCCAAAATTACTGACAATCCATCCTATGAAAAAGAGTGACGAACTCATTTTTATTCGGTCATAGGTTGGTCCAAAGAACTTTTAAACAATATTTTCATTATCGTCAAATATAAAATATGTCATCAATTTGTGTTTGTTGTATTGTTGCTTTCCATTTATCAATTTGTCCATTATTTATCAAGGGATGAGAAGATAGTAATGATTTTGAAAAATTCATTTGAAATTAAAATGACTTAAAGAGAAAAAGGAGTTTAAATTGATTTGGAAGGAGATAAATTGGCACACCAATGTATTATATATTTATGTGGTTGGTGCAAACACCCCGATACAAATAATTATGTACGTCTAAAAACATTCATTTATAGATTCTATTTGTCGTGTCCATTTTTATCCTGTTGGATTATGGGTTGCGGGTCGCTCCATGTGGGCTGACTCGACCCGGTTAGGAGAGATAAATAAGAGAGGTTAAGGGAATTACCACTAAATCACAAACTCTCACTAAAGTGAACGTGCAAAAAAGGGAGTGGTGAGTTATCTTCCTTAACCGCTATTATTGTGCCAATTTATGCTAAGGAGATAACACAGAACTTTCAAGCGTTGGAATTTTCTCTCTGACTAATCCTTTTTACAAGAAAAATATACACCAGTTAGGGCATCTAATTGGTGAAAGACTAACTTTATTTTCTAGCGATTCAAAGGTCGATTCGGAGCAATTCTTTTGGTGGTGAGTTTAACGGTTTCCGCTGTGTCAATAAGGTACACAACTTGTAATTCTCGCCCTCTCGTTATTAATAACAAACAATGGTATCAGAGCAATGTATGGTGTTCTGTTTTGAATATATAGTTTACTGAAGTAATTTGTATCACTGTCTATTGCGGAAAAGCCTTTTTTGTGTTTCGGCGAAAGCAATAATAGCACAATTTAATCTTTCCACTTTAATGTCACGACCTAAATTTTTCACCATCGGGAGTCGTGATGGCGCCTACACGTGGAAGCTAGGCAAGCCAAATATTATAAAATCATTACCTTCCTTTTATTAAACATGTTCAACAATTTAAAATAATAAGTGATTAAACAGCGGAATAAATTAAATAAACAGAAATGCGGAAGACGAAAAAACTTAATAATTCAACCAAACACTGCTACATAATCTGAAGTATAATACTACCCGAAATTTGGTGTCACAAGTCACGGACTATCTAAGAATGCTACAAATAAGGTGTGAATGAAAATACATAGATCTGTCTCTAAATAGGTAGAAACAGATAGAGAAATGATAGGAGGAGACGCCAAGGCCTGCGGATGTCTGCAGGACTACCTCGGGTCGCCTGAATGGACTGAGGACAGCACCCTTAATGCGGTCCAAACGCTCCGGTATCATTATTTGCACACAGTACAGAGTGTAGTATCAGCACAACCGACCCAATGTGCTAGTAAGTGTCCAGCCTAACCTCGGCGAAATAATGACGAGGCTAGGACCAGACTACCAAATAAACTTGTGCAGTTAAATCATATACAACGAAAATAAAAGCAAATAATTGCAACTAAAGTTGGGCGGGGGAAACATGCTGCGGGGAGACAAATAACTTTAGCCTGGATGCATATTTATTGTTTAATACCAAATTGCAAGGATAGAAAGGCCGAATTTATTTATTTTTTTGATTAAATTGGACACTTGTCAATTTTTGTACACATAATGGGGTATGTGCTTTGTTATGTATTGATTTATTGGATAGTTATACATTAGAAAATTGAATAGTTACAAAGCATAGACTAGTAAGAAGAATTATATGTGGTTTTACTGGTTTCCTCGGCCTCCGTGTTTTCTGCTATTCTTACTTGGTCTGTAATAATGTATAGAGATTTGATCTAAATTTCAGCTCACTGTTTCATAATGTTGAAAATAAGTTTAGTCCTAATCCCTCAATTGATATCCTTCAACAATTAATTGTGGTATATGTTGTCACATTGAATGGTTGTAGCCATTCTTATTATTTTCTTGGTCCTATTTCAGACATGGTTGAACAGGGACAAGTTCGAATTACTCTAAGTGGATGTTCTCGAAATCGAGGAAGGGGACTACATAGAAGAATACATCGTCGCAGGACTTATTT